CAAACAAGATTATCAACCAAGGGCAATGAAGATAAAGCTATCTGCAAAGACTGTCAGTGTCTGCTACTTAGAAGAGGAACTTTCAATTACTCAGCATATCGTATGTAACACAGGCGCATTGCCAATTGCCAAAAGAATTATTGACTCCAGATAATTGAGAAACCAAAGCATAGAAAACCAAATTCTTCAACGAATATTTTTATAAGTATAAATGTTACCTTTAGAAATATATCAATTGCGCGGTAAATTCCATCATCTAATGTCCTGGCATAATCAGGAAAAACCTCACCCAGTGACTGAAATTTCGGTAGCTTCAAGTTGACATCAGGCGCTACCTCAGCTAGATATCCATCTATCAAATTAGCCACCATTGTCATTGGAGTAAGTGAATGTGAACCTCGCATCAATTGCCCCTCCTCAACTATATAATTTGAAGTAAAATCCATTGCATCACGGTCCACGAGCATGAAATGATCGAGTATCCGTTGAACACAGTCAACATCATAAAGAGTTTCTGTTGAATATCCCATATTTGGTATTAGAAGATCCTCTAGTGCAGCTTGATCCAGCTGGGCTCCTATCCGTCTCTCTAATTTCTCCCGGCATGCTGAACTAGCATGTAAAATCATGGCTGTTCGTAGAAGTCTAACCAAGAACTTGGTTTGTGTGACACCTTTTTGATCCGGTAGTAACTCTACTATTTCTTCAAGGAGATTTTTTTGATCTCCATCAGATGTGGCAGATATAGTTGATCCAGGGGTAGCAGAGACTCCATTCTGGAAGTTTGATTGCCTGCCCAATAAAGGAAGATGCTTATTTGAATAGTGAATAACAGAGCCAGCAATTTTCTCTGGCTTCATGCCTCCTGATTCAAGAGCCACCATCAACCTCTTAAAGAAAGGTAATCTGAGAAATGAAACATCTTCAAACCACCAATCTTCACTCGCAGGAGATGGCTTGGTAGTTGTGCAAATTCCATTCCACAATACAATACCTTCTGAATTCTTTGCAGGATTGCCTATAGGCCAACTGAACAAATTTGGATCTGCACAAGCTTTCATGGCTAAGGAATTGATGCATCTTGAAACGATATGAAGCTCCTCTGCATGAGGTAGAACCTCTTCACAGGTTTCAAGAGCTTTAATCGAGTCTGTCCAGTTTCCTAAAACATCGTAGAGAAAATTTTCTGTTTGTAGTATGAGATTTCCCTCTCCATATTCTTCAGTCATTTCAAGGTACTCTGCAGCACACCTGAGACTGACTACATTTGCTGCTGTGAGCTCTATTC